TCGTCAGCCTGGCAAGCACAAGGTCCTGAGTTCGATCCCTGATACTGAAAAAAAAAAGTATTATTATTTGTTTTTTGAGACAGCATCTGGCTATGTAGTTCAGGCTGCCCTTGAACTCACTATGTAGCCCAGGCTGGCCTCGAACTTGCAGCAATACTACTGCCTCAGCCTCCTGCTGGGATTACAGCTATGCCTCACCACACCAATCTTATCCCTTTTAATTTTAATGCTGATCAAGCCAGGCTTGGTGGCTCAGGCCTGTAATCCCAGCACTCCAGAGTCTTGAGGCAGGAGGGTCACTGGGAGTTTGAAAAATAAAGACAAAAATAAGGGCCAGGGATTTAGCTCAGTGGTGCCGCAGCCTGCCTGGCAAGCACAAAGTCACAAGTTTGATCCCCCATACCAAACAAAAAAAAAAAAAAAAGGACTTAAGATAAATAATTTGAGTGACCACAAAAGTCATTAAAATTAACCTCCTGTTCAGTTTGAAAGGTATTTAATTTTACCAACAAAACAAAAAACAGGCACACAAAAAAAGCCACTTACACATTTCTTTATTATGGACTGGAGTTCTTCCACAGCCATTCCTAATTATTTTTCCAAGTTTTGATTCTGAAATACTAGATACAAACACACTGTTAAACTGTGATAGTACTCGACTTATGTTACATTCTGATTAGAAAACACAATAAAGAAAATGTAAAGTTTTAATTGACTGTAAAGTTATTATTGGCTATCCTGGATTTTTTTTCCTTTTGCATATTTTAAAGACCATACAGTAGTTTTGAAAGGTACCAAAAGGGGAGAGTCATCTAGAGCACTCCCTAGAGGAGAGGCAATACAGACTGAAAGGCTTTAAAAAGTTAAAGTATTTCTTTTCTGAACACTTGTCCCAAAAGGTGGGCCTAAAATTAAAATTCTAATCATTCGGTAATTTTTTAATGTTCCACTTCACAAGAATTGGAATCCAACACAATTAAGTCACACAAAGGGGAGGAAAATTCAGTTGCCCTCCATCCCACTTCTCGGTGGGAGCTGCACTACCCAAAACAATCAATCCAGTAGTAAAATCTCCGCCTTCCACCGAGACACGGCAATCGGCTGTCCTGCGGCGGTCACCGCCCGCGCCCACCGACCATCGTTTCCCCGGGAGAAGGCAGGGGCGCCGCGCAGCCGGTTCTTCACGCTCGCAGGCGGTACAATACCCTAGCGCGCCAGAGAGCTGCATCCAGGGGAAGCCATTTCTCCCGATTCCTGCTCCTAGGCGATCCGGCCGTTTCCCTGCAGGAGGCCTAGTCGACCTGCAGCGCCGCTCTCTCCAAGGCTCACCGCCAACCGCGAGCCTAGACAGCCCCGGACTTCTCGACGTTTACTTACCCACCAGACCTCGCAGCCCTCTGAGGCCTTCGGCACCTCGGATCCAGTAGGCCAGGCCAGCCTGGCCCCGCCCCACCGCGCCCCGGCCCGCCCCCGGCCCGCCCCCGGCCCGAGAGGCGCTTGGAGGCGAAGCCCGGCCCCTCTGATGACGCTGGCCATGGCTGACTTCGCAGGGCAGCTTCCCGTGGGCCTCACGACCCGGCCTGCCCCCGCCTCCCGGAAGGCTACAGGTAGGAACAAGGACCTCTTCCCACGCCTGGACCCTGCGAACTGGGCCCCCGACCGAGTTGCATACCGAGGAGCGCGGCGCCTCGGGAGAAGCGCCCACAGGGTCCGGAACCCCCGCGCTTCTGGGAAAGACTTCCCGGCCCGACCCCAGGCTTTTTTACGGGAGTTGCGGGATGTCCTCCGAAGTGGGCTGCCGGCACAGCCTCTTAGGGAAAAGGCAGTGGGAGGGCCGGGGATTTAGCTCAGTGGCGCCTCGCCTGCCTTGCAAGCGGGAGGTCCTGAGTTTGATCCCTGGTGGGGGCGTGGGGAGGTGGAGTTGCTGGGGACCCCAAGTGTCGAGGGCACCGTCGGCAGGCCGTGTGCAGCTGGCCTGGAACCTCCGGGAGTCCTCCTTCCAGGCAGCTTTGGTGCCCAGTTCTCTGGGCTTGTCGTACTCCCTCTAACCCCGGGAGCGGACATTTGGGAGACGTAGAGATCTTTACCCAAAAAGTGATCAGGGATTTTTTTGGAACTATGATTTTAAGCAACTGTGATTAAAAATTCAAGACCTAATGCTATCATTTTTAGCCAAGGAAAATTGGGAATAATTAATTTACAAAAATCAGATAATCCTATTTCATTTTGATTTACTTGAAAATGAAATGTGTGCCAAAAAAGTCTACAGTTTGTTACAGGGGCAGGAATATATTCTGTACTTAATGCATTTGTGTAAGTTTGACCTTTTTTTAGTATTTTTGGGACAGGGTCTAGCTGTATATTTCAGGCTGGCCTTGAACTCACTATGTAGCCCAGTCTGGCCTCAAACTCAGGGCAGTCATCCTGCGTCAGGCTCCCGAGTGCTGAGATTACAGATGTGCACCACCATGCCTGCCCTGACCTATTTTTTCAATTGTAGGTACTAAACAAACAAGTGGCTTGAGACAAGATGCTTCTAAAAGGTATGACAACTGCATCCACTTATCTTTTAACTCACATTAGTGATTGAATCCATTTTTAAAACAATTGAGTCCCTTTTTTTTTTTTTGGTACCAGGGATCAAACTTGGGACCTTGTGCCTGCGAGGCAGGTGGTAGAACCACTGAGCTAAAGCCTTGGCCCTCAGAGTACCTTTTTTTTGAAGAAAATTATGAGAGATTAAGAAAACCAAAACTAGAAAGGTGTCTTTGGGAACTTCCTGAATTAACTAGGTGCGCCTTTGCTACCTCTTCAGGTGCACTCTCTTTTTATCATTGTATATGTCAGAGCTTCACTCTCCAAGTTTCTCTCTTTAGCACTCCAAGAAACCTTTTCTTTGCTACATCATGTCCAAGTTTTCATTTAAAAATTTAAAAAGCTGTTCTGTACTGTCTTTTGGCTCCTAAAAAGGCAAGATATTATCTCTTGTCACAAAAAGTTTCTAGAATCATAGTCTGTGGAGATCAAAATACATGTGTATATACCTGTAGTGTGACATGACTATGAAGACTTATTTTTTATTGGCTTTGGTCTTAATTTATTCATTTTTGTAAAACAGTTATTCACTGATCATAAGATATTCCAGACTTGGGTTAGGCCATAAGAATATGGTGTTGATCAAAACTGACACGTGGAACAGAGAAATAGCGATTAAACACAAATGAATGCATAATTACAAATCATAATAAGAAAAAGATCATGATGTTAGGAGGAACTGATAATAACATAAGCCCAATTTAATGGAAGTTGTCTGTGGGTTTTCAGGGAAAGGCTTCTCTGAGAAAGTAATAATTAAGTTGAGACCTGAAGGCTAAGTAGGTGTTCGCCAGGCAATAAGTAGTGATGAAAGACCTCCAGCCACAGGTGACAGTATGTGTGCAGACCCTGAGGCAAGAAAAGGCTTGGGAACTTCACAGAAAGATGCCTAGGATGCTGTGTGACACTGAGCAAGGGAAGAAAAGAGCATAGTCATGTTCACATAGTACTCTACCTGGTAGAAATGAGAAATTTAGGTCGTCTAAGTACAAATGAGAAAGCTTTAAGAAACTGAGTGATACGATTGAAGTTTTAAGTTTTAAAAGTTTTAAGACATTAGAACTGGTCATCAACTAGCAATAAAGAAACTAGTTAAATTTGAGATGTTTTGAAGACTACTTCACTATTCCTTATGGAATAATGTGACTAAACTGATTTGGCTTTAGGAATTACTGTAAGAATAAAGTTAATATTGATTTCGACAGTGATTTACAACTGTCCTCATCACTAATCTGACCACAAACCTGTGGAGATTACATTTTGTACAGTTTGAGGAATACAGATAAACCAAATGTTTTTTGGTTTGTTTTTTATTTTGTGTAGTGCTGGTGATTGAACCAAAGATCCTATGTATGCTAGATAAGTGCTCTACCGCTGAGCGCAAGCCCCTGCTTAATTTTTTTTTTTTTTGTACTGGGGATCGAACTCAGGACCTTGCACTTGCGGGCCAGGTGGCACTCTGAGCTAAATCCTGGGCCCTCAGCTTAAAGATTTTTGAGCAGGATGATGAAACAATCCATAGGACAGCTAAGTAGTTGAGGGAAGTGGCTATACATTTATTTCAACTGAAATATAGTTCTACATTCAATTCAGCTGATTACTATTAAGACAGACATTGAAATTTATAAAAATAGAAAAAATATAACAATTCCATTCTTAGAAAGTTTTTCATTTAAGAAGATGTAAAGGCAGTGGATTGGTCATTACTAAATGATTGTAAATAAATGCTTTAAAATTTGCTGTTTTACAGCCCTTTGCAATGTGAGAAAGCCCCAAAGCTCTGGGTTGACCTCCACATCAATAACAACTGAATGTTTTTTAGCTTTAGAATATGTTCATATCATTTGAATTAATTTTTGACTATACTTTGGCTTTGGAGAGGAATTGTTTCATATGGACACTGGTATTTTTTGAACTTAATAGCTAAATATTCTAAAGTGCATGTTTTATACTGTTGAGTTTTAACCAATCAGGAAAATTTTATGTAATCAATGCTAGTTAATTTTTTTGTATGAATGTTGTTTAGGCTGCCATGTTTAGCTTTTGTTAACTCTTTACTCTTGCTGTCTCAAGTTCATTATTATGTTTAATGGCACTCTTGCCAAGATATTTAGCACGTAAAAAGGAGGTTTTGATTTTTTGTTTTTAAACAGCTTCATATTGAAGCTGAGACTTATAAACAAGTTGAGTGGCAGGCCTAGTATTCTTATCTTGTTACATAAAGCTATTGACAGAATCTTAGTAAATACAATGTTTAAAAAAAAAAATTGCCATTTTAATCCTGTGGTAAATTGACAGATTTAATCCACACAAGCGAAGGCTGTAAGTGAGTATTACAGAGTCCTTGAGGCCAAAAAGATTTGGGATCTGCTCCCATTGCCCACACTGCCTGTTATCATTTGTGATAGCAGAAGGAGTGTGGCTCAGATGATCGGGATGGCTGATGGCTTTGAGTCAGCAATTCCTTAATGTAGGTTGTATACTAACCCTATTACATGACAGGCTTTTATTGGCAGACACAAAATGAAAAAAAGAATAACAAATTTTTCATGAAACTAAATGTGTTCAATATCAAGAAATTAATGTTTGTCTTTCATACTTCTTTGATGTAAAGGTAGTCTTTATGAAACAGTGTGCAAATAGGTATTAGTTGTGAAATTCTTCTTGTTGGTAATACTGGGGATTGAACCTGGGATCATCCTACCTCAGCCTCCTGAGTAGCTAAGATTACAGACATGAACTACCACACCTGGCCTTAAAATTTTTCTTGCTGTAATGTCCTTATTTGACAAAACAGATTGTTGGAATAACTCTTAGAACTCCAAATTGTTTTTGGAAAGCATACTGGTCTGGGAAAAAATTAAAGTCTTGGTAGTCTTTTATTGATAAGGATATTCTAGGCCCAGACCTGAGAGGCAAGTCAAGGACAAGGAGGCCAGCAAAGGTAGTTCTGGTAGATAAGTAGTAACCAGTGCAGGAAAGGAGCAAGTAAGTCACTAAGGTTAATATCTTTGATCCTCTGGCAGTGATTCTCAACTTTGTTGAACAGTAAGACTGATTAACTGAACACTTCAAAAAAAAAAATCAGGATCTAGGCCCCATATTCAGAGATTCTGATTTAATTAGCCTCAGTAGGACCTAGGCATGATATTTTTTCAAATCTCAAGTGATCCTAATGGGCAGTTGGGATTGAGAACCACTGTCCTAACCTATTGTTTGGTCAGATAGTCTCTGCTTTTATGTTCCATATTGTGTGGGGACCAGCAGAGGTTGTCAGAGGCCCATTGATAACAAGGACAAACCCTCCTAGGAAGACTTTTATTTTCCTAAACCACACATTCATGTCAGTATAGTTATTTAACAAGACTTAACAACAAAAGTAAGCACTTTTTGTAAGTATGATTGTATTGTTCTATCAAAATGGACCATCAGTTAACTTTTGATACTTGTTAGAAATTTCTACTTAGAAGTCATCTTTTTTCCTTTCTAATCTGTTCTCATTTCTGGCTTCATATCAGAGGAAAAGCTTTTCTTCGTAGGTATATATAGGGATTGATAAATTATAAACACATTTTTTT